GTTCGTGGCCCCTATCAGGTTTTTTTCAGTGCCCTATGCTTTAACTCCGCTCAAAGCCTCGCTAGCACTCAGTCATCGTCAGCACGCGGGGCATCTCGACTTCGACCCTTTAGGGTTTAGGGTTCAGGGCAATTTCAGCCTTCCGACCTTGTGGGACTACTAGCTTAGGATTGGCGACCGGATGTACGTGGACATGGAGGAGTTGCATGGCTTACCATTGCTCTGGTATACTGGTGGCTAGCATGCGGCAATGTGCTGCGAAGTGCATATTCTGCTAGTCTTCTATCTGGCATCTACCTGCTATAGTGTAGCTATGTACTCCGTTGTCCTTCGTCAAGCAGAAAGCTATCCCTGAACAGGCCCAAGCTCGGGAACCGCACGTCCTAAACTGAAACCGGCCCTTAGCCCTGAAGCTACACCTCCAGTTTCAGGGGGACTGGGACGGGAATTAAACCTATGCTCATACTCCCTGTTCTATAACCCTTAACCACAATGAGCCCGAACAGACCCTAACTCCTACTACTATCGCTCCAGCCAGTCGCGGTGCACCTGCTCTAGACGCGAAGGCCTTGCCCAGACTGCTGGCGGCTTGGGGTTTAGGGTTTAGGGTTTAGGAGAATGCAAAGCTAGCAACAACAGTCAGGAACCCCTAAATACCAAACACCTCACACTCACAAGAAAGGAAAGCTGCCGGCAAAGGATGTTTCGGCCCTTCCGTGCCAGCCGTCGGGAAGGAGCTGCGAGTGGTGCAAAAGCATCGAAAAGCAACTCTCTTTTGAATGCATGGAGAAAGGCCTAGGGCAGCACGCCAGGTCTTGCCCACGCGAGCCGAATGTAGTGTAAATATCCGGGATGTGGAATTTTCCTCGAGGACAACCTGTTACAAGAACACAAGTCAATGAAATTGCAAGCTAGGAAGCGAAACTTGAAGCAGTGCAACGAGTGGCGTGTCTGAAAAGAGACGACAGGCCTAAGCCGACCTGGTGGACCCGAAACCCTACTGCGAGGTAAAACTTCTTGGGGATGTTTCATCTGGGTATGCTTGGGCCTCTGGAGTAAGGATTTCCGGCAACACATACGGGGCTGTTGCCTTCATGTAACCTGCTCCGTAGTGTGATGCAACGCCCAAGCCAGAGCCAGGAAGTGCTCTTCTTCAAGCTAGTACTTAACAGGACAGAGCCTGGGCCTGTAAAGTAGGTCGAATCATTCATCAGTTGCGGCAGCATCAACAGAAGATACAGGCAACACCGCATGCTGTCACCACTGCTGGTGATAATGGTAAGCACAATGGTAAGGGGCAGGGGTAAGGGTCAGGGTAAGGGTAAGGGCAAGGGTAATAATGGTAGTGGTGGTGGTGGCGCTGCTGCTGCTGCTGGTGGTGTGGCGATGGCAGTGGAGGTGGCGGGGCGGCGGCAGCAGTGGTGGCGGCGGTGGTGGTGGTCAGTGAAGGTGGTAGATGTTTCAGTTGCTAGTGTGGTGGTTCCTGTTGATGTAGTACTTGTGCTTTGGTGCTGTCATTGCCGTGGAGGTGGTTGTGGTATTTGTAGCAGTCGCAGTCTTGGGGCTACGGCATTGGTAGCAGAAGTAGCTGCTAAGTAGCTGTAACACCGACAGATACTGCTAGCATCGGAAGCAGTAAAGGCGGCAGCACGGGTATCTACAGCGCCCAGTGCACCTCGCTGGCGCAGCCCTCGGGCGATGCCGGCGTGGCAGCTGCGATGGGGCCTTCGAAGCTCTGGGAACTTGGGTTGTAGAACATGGTTGAGGTGCAATGTCTGTCTCTTACCGTGGTCTTGGACAATGTACTGGAGCCCAAGACCCTTCGACGGCATAGCTACTAATGCAGTTGCTCCTACTACTACGAATGCTATGACTACTTACGAATACTGCTACTGCTGCCACCATTACAACTAACTACTACAAATTAGGGGCTCACCGAGAAAAGCCTACAAAAACCCGTAGTGACAGTAGCTAGCTCTAGGAGAGCCATTTTAAGATCCCTCTCCCTTTACGAAACCAACATGAAGGTGTATGGCGTAGAAGTTAGAAGGCTTAGATGTTGCCTCCCTCCATACACACCCGCCTGCAAGTCGGCCTCTACTGTCTTGTTGGGCACATCATCCTCGACTAGGCGCATGAAGAAGTCCTGGCAAAGGCACTGGAAAAGTGTTGGAACAGTAAACGCAAGACTAACATTCTGCCATGAACTCGGCGTCCCCAACGGACGGGATATTGATCGAAAATCTACCCTGTGCCAGAGCAAGCCATTGCCAACCAAATCACGTGACAAGCAAAAACCCAATACCCAGTTCTTGTTGTTGCCAGTGTGTTTCGGGGAACGCTGATCATAGCTAACGACATATAATGAATCATTACTACGTGATTGTAGTAGTACTGGTACTAGTAACAGTACTAGTACTCGCTCTAATGTAGCAGTGAAGTAACGGCAATAGCAATGGCTGCAGTCAATGCAGTAGTAAAAATAGCTAAAACGTGCCAGTAACAGAACTGGCAATAGTGAGGGTCAAAGCACTTTGTACCAGCGATAGCAACAGCCAAAATGAGCATCATGGTACTTTGTATACGTTCATCGCCTAATCATGGATCATAACAGGAGGATTTATTGTTAAGCCCTCGCTCCGGGACCTGCAGCCTTGTTTCAGGATCCCCTCTCCAATTTAGGGCTTAGGGCCAGGGCTCCGAAATGTTGCTTCGGGTAGGATGCAGGGTGAAGCAAGATCCCTCCCGGGTGGCACTGTGGCACACGCGGAATTGTAGAACCCCCGCCGGGTACTGACACCACCAAGCCCTTCATTCAGGCCTTCGTGCCTTCTTTGATGGAGTGGGGGATCCTATGCAACAAAGAATCGCCGCAGAATGCTCCTTCTCTGAAAGCCTGGCCTCTCCTGCGGGAAGGCCGAAGTGCCATCCGAGCGAACCCAAAACATCGAAGTGAAACTCAAACCCACTTGGGCCACAAACCCGTCCAGAGGGGCTGCCCTGGATTTAGGGGTGGTAGGGCCTAAACTGCAACCTGAGCAAAGGAGCTCCGACGGGAATTGGGTCTGTTGCTCCAAGAAGGGTTGCCTGACGGGCCCGCGAGCTTAATCGCTTCTGCTGTGCGAAGAGGACAGCCAGGCGCACATCTGTCAAGGACGTAGGCTTTCGGCTTTGGGATCTTCGGGGCTTTAGGGCACCACTCTCTGTGGCTCTTTTGGGGTTTCGGGTTCAGCAGACACTAAGAGTTTTGAGTTGAGGAATTGAGAAAAGCCCAGGTTCGACAGGCATGCAAGCCGATCGAAACGATGTCTGTCTGCGCTGAACAGAAAGACTTGCGATTGCCGTTGCATTGCCCAACCAGGGTCTGTGCGAGGATACCCTCCACAGCACCGTTTGATCAGAGGGCTGCCAGAGGAAAGGGAGTGCTGCGCATCTGCACCCTGTAGCAGACAGGGAGGCTCTATCAAGAGCACTATCTTACACTACGAAGACAGCTGAATCATCCTGTTGGCACACAGGGGTTTCCGTAGCATCCATGCGAAGGTGGGCCAAATATTCTAGGAGCCTTATATGCGCTTATATGACTAACAGAGGGTTGGAGGGTATAGATAATACTACAAAAAATTACGGGCACTGTAGGAAAACTCTTACTGACTCCTGATAGCTCTTACGAAATGAGCTCCATGCAACCGTGCTGCTTCCTCTTTGAGAGAGGAGCTGTCATCGTCTCGGCTTAACTCGGATACCCAGTCTCCGATCTGTAAACCCTGCCAGCTCTCTTGCAGCTCTGTGCCCCACCCCTGAAGGCTGAAGTAGACCAGGCCTTCGTACTCTGGAACCCTCGCGTGCTAAAGCTCTCTGACATCCCTGGTGCTCAGTGCGCCTGAACCGGTTCCATCATCGGCTGGGTCCATTTGCATGCAAGTTGGTGAAGCTTGTGCGACCCTGCCAGATAACTTCAGTCTGGCTGATAGATGACGGAGACTACACACCGGACAGCGTGATATGGAACGTGCACGTATGTTTACCTTCGACCACATACACTGCATGTCATTGTTAGCGCTGTACTTGAGCGCCGCATGACAGCGGCAGTTGAAGAGAAGGGCGTGAAGTCTTTGTCAGTAACATGGACGAGGCCCGAAAACCTTACTATTGTCACGATATTACTTCTAATTATTATGACTATGAACATGACGTTGCTAAACCTAGTAGTATTGCCACTGCAACGCATTGGCTGCTCCGACTCGTCTTGCTTCCGATAGTAAGATGCGGCTCAAGAAGATGTTGCTGCTGTTGATGGCGACAGCCTTCTGATGCACAATCTGACTGCTCTTTGATGTGCTGTAGTTTCTATACTGGTAGTCGTCGTGCAGGAGTAGAGGTAGCATGTGCCTACTCCGCTACTATTGGCGGTTCGAAGCTGCAAAAATTCATCGAGGCAGGCAACGGATCAAGCGGTGATCGCAGCAGAACGCAAATTATGGAGCAATGCTCAAAAAGCAATCCCTAGACTCAGCAAGCCGCAAACTTGATCCAGAGGGCTCATGGCACTTCGCTGGGCAATGGCATAGTTCGGTTTTCGGCCGCGGAGTTCCCCGAAGCTTCTTCGAAGCTATGCTTTGAGCGTGGCTTCTCGTGGTCTCCCTCCGCCACTCAGAAGGGCAGCGCCGCCTTGCTCTTGGGAACAGCCAAGTCGCGGAGCGTCTGCCAGCTGCCGGCTGCGGCACGGAGGACGCCGAGGAGCAGCGCCAGCTGCATGGTGCAACGCATGGCTGCGCGGGCACTGCCGTGCTTCCGCACCGGTGCCTCTTGGGCGTGCAGCAGCTCCTCGCTGCTCCAAGCAATCTCTGCCTCTGACTCTGCGGCGACGCTGTCCGAGTCCGTGGTGTTCTCGAGCACGGCACTCGAGGCAATCTCAAGCCGCTCTTGAGCATCCACAGACATCTTCTTCTGAGCCCAGAACTCGGGTGTCAAGATCTTGGTCTCTTGGAACACTTTCGGATACGGGCACTCGTGCGGGAAGGCGTAGTGCATCCACTCTGCAAAGAGCCGGCC